ATTATAGTGAATAAACTATTACTGTAATGTCTGTTGAACAGAGAATTATTATAGTGAATAAACTATTACTGTAATGCTTGTTGAACAGAGAATTATTATAGTGAATAAACTATTACTGTAATGCTTGTTGAACAGTGAATTATTATAGTGAATAAACTATTACTGTAATGCTTGTTGAACAGAGAATTGTTATAGTGAATAAACTATTACTGTAATGCTTGTTGAACAGAGAATTGTTATAGTGAATAAACTATTACTGTAATGCTTGTTGAACAGAGAATTGTTGTAGTGAATAAACTATTACTGTAATGCTTGTTGAACAGTGAATTGTTGTAGTGAATAAACTATTACTCTAATGTTGTTGAACAGAGAATTGTAATAGTGAATAAACTATTACTGTAATGCTTATTGAACAGATAATTGTTATAGTGAATAAACTATTACTGTAATGCTTGTTGAACAGATAATTATTATAGTGAATAAACTATTACTGTAATGCTTGTTGAACAGAGAATTGTTATAGTGAATAAACTATTACTGTAATGCTTATTGAACAGATAATTGTTATAGTGAATAAACTATTACTGTAATGCCTGTTGAACAGTGAATTATTATAGTGAATAAATTATTACTGTAATGCTTGTTGAACAGAGAATTGTTATAGTGAATAAACTATTACTGTAATGCTTGTTGAACAGAGAATTGTTATAGTGAATAAACTATTACTGTAATGCCTGTTGAACAGTGAATTACTAAAGTGAATAAATTATTACTGTAATGCCTGTTGAACAGTGAATTACTAAAGTGAATAAATTATTACTGTAATGCTTGTTGAACAGAGAATTATTATAGTGAATAAAATATTACTGTAATGCTTGTTGAACAGAGAATTGTTATAGTGAATAAACTATTACTGTAATGCCTGTTGAACAGAGAATTGTTGTAGTGAATAAACTATTACTGTAATGTCTGTTGAACAGAGAATTGTTATAGTGAATAAACTATTACTGTAATGCCTATTGAACAGAGAATTGGTATAGTGAATAAACTATTACTGTAATGCTTATTGAACAGATACTAATGCAATAATATTTTGTAATACTTTGCATGTGATTTAAAATCTGTAACATTATAAATCAATTCTGAAAACTATAATTATAACTAATATCTGCACAAATTTATAGAATGAGCAAAAGAAAATTTTCTCCTTTATGTTTTCTTTATTACAATTAAACTTTTGAGTTATATTAAAGATTACTAGGCCCACAGTGGGCCACTGCAAAAAGATTCCTATTTCTAAAAATATAAAGTAAACTGTGTTTTTACAAACCAAAATAAAGAGATAAATAACTGATATTTGACTATAGTTAATAAATGTGACTTTCTATCTAAATCCATATGTCAGGTTCATGTGATGACAGAGATTTTACCATGCAAGTTACTGTAGTCTGAATTACTCCTCAAAATTTTTATATTTGTATTGATGTTGATATCAGATTGATAGGTTTTTGGCCTATTTTGAACAAAAATAAAAGAAATAGAGAATGGAAGAGAACATAAAGGTTTCACTGAGTGGCCTGGATTACTCTAACATGAAGGTTTTATAAGTTTAAAGGTTTCACTGAGAGGCCTGGATTACTCTATTTATGTGATTTTAAAAATGCTGGTCCAGATAACTTACAGGTAATTTCCCCTCACAAAATTAGGAAGAAGAGCAGGAACTGAATAAAAGAGAATGAGGGTTATTCAAAATTATTGAAAGGGAAATTCTGATGTCAGTTACAAAACTATGGTAATGAATGGCAAGATTACACTCTTAATACAATCCTCATTATACCATGATGAGGTCAAAGTTAGTATTTTCCGTACTGATCATCTGAGTCTGGTTGTGTATCTGAATGGTTCCAGTGAAATCAACTGACTTGTAATTTTTGCACAATCATGACAAATTAATTTTATGAACTGTCTGCAAAGGACTGATTGTCTCTGGAATAATATGCCATAACATGACACATTATATAATATGGCATAATATGACTTCTCATTACTTTTTACAAGACACAAAACAATGCATTTTGTTAATGTTTGATTCACTTAAATTACTTTCATGTAACTTAAAAAATTGTAGACCTATTCTCAGGATATATGACTTTCATGTAACTACTGTGTAATAATGTGGAAATAAAAGTAATAAATATCTTTAACTTAGCTGTTTAAGAAACTATAATGGTATCATGATATGTCTAAAAATGTTGTACACTTCTAAAAAATACTGTTCACACATACACAAAAACTAGTTACCTATATTTTAGCAAAAAACATTTTGATCTGACTGAAACTGATGTTCTCAGGAATACTGTTCCCACACACACAAAACTCATGGTTCATGCTGAATTACTCAGATCAATTTCATGCACTTTTCAAGAACTTTCTAATCACTCTCAGAATGTTTCTCAAGCACTTTTTGGAAGCTAAAATCTACATCAAAATCAATTGGATTACATGAAATTTTATAAAATTCCTATTTATTTGTCCAACATATGAATGTAGAACAAGAGCAAATACTATTTATTGTGCTCAACTCCACAACATGCATTAAAGTTAGATATATCAATATATTCTGTTATTACAAAATTTTGAAGTACTTTTACAAAAATAGACCCTTTTTCAAGCCCTTGAAATTCCATTCTCAATTTCAAGGACTTTCAAAGATAGGTATGCACCTTGAAACTAGTTACATAAATTGTAACATATCATTATCTGACTAGAACCGTGATAACATTTTAAACATACAACTTGCTTTTATTTCTCTTCCATACCTTCTCAACCTGAGCCGGTTTTCCATTGTGAGTGAAGACCTCAATACCATTTAATCCAACATAATGCTTGTCACCCCAAGTTGATAAAATGTTTAGTGTTAGCTGAATGCCCTCTGGGAGCACTGGAATAAAGAAGTCACCCTCGAAGCTGCAAAACAATGGTCTTTCTATGTATGTGTTTGTATGTAATACTAAAAATATATAAACTTACAGAAGTTATATTTAAAAAAACTCAACAGTTTTGTTTGTTTTTAAGGTTTCATCCGCTACAAAAAAGAAACAATAAGTGTTCTAATAAAAAAATTATTAAATGAATTTAGCATGGTTTTTGGACTTTATCTTTTAGTTTTCAGATAATTAAGGTCAGAGTTAATTACAATAATTTTTTTTTTCAAACTTTCCTCGCTATTTCCAAAAATATTATTCATTAAAATAAAGTTATTCTGTAGTTGATTTCACTTTATAGGAGTATGTATATCAAGGAAGGCAAGCTGCAGGGTCATTTCATCATACACTCATAACGTTATCCTACAGCACACTACATGTGTAACTATATATCATAAGTTGTGAGAAATATTTTTTACAATTCTCATCTATCATACACTTATTTTTAAAGCCTGATAATAAAAAATCAGGCTTTCTTTCTTGTCCACACAGCCATACTAAAGAGTTCATCATAGCTTTTCAAGTAAACTGGGTAACAGTAAGGACAGTTAACTGCTTTGAATTGCAGTAAATAACTCTAATGAATAAAACAATTTAAATATATTAATTAATTAACTTTAGAGGTGAATAACATTACTGATTTTTACTTACTCTGTGATTTCAGTGCCATCATTTTCAACCATCTTAAACATTCTGCTGCCATCATTTGCAATACGTGAAACCAGCTGTCCTTTAATTCTTTCTTTCTGCATGTAAAGATCTAGTATGTCCCCTTACAAAACACAATATAAAAAGAGATCAAATCTAGTATGTCCCCTTACAAAACACAAGATAGAAAGAGATCAGATCTAGTATGTCCCCTTACAAAAAACAAGATAGAAAGAGATCAGATCTAGTATGTCCCCTTACAAAAAACAAGATATAAAGAGATCAGATGATTATTTTATCAAGCTGTTTACTTGAAATTGGTTTGTTTCTTGTTTCATTTTCTGTAGGAGATACAGGTATACTGATGACTTACATACTCAGTCATGAAGTATACTGATGACTTACATACTGAATCATGAAGTATACTGAAGATGATACACACACTGAATCATGATGTATACTGAAGATGATACACATACAGAATCATGATGTATACTGAAGGTGATACACATACTGAATCATGGTATAGACTGAAGATGCTATACATACTGAATCATGGCATATCTGAAGGAGATACACATTGAATCATTATGTATTCTGAAGCATATACAGTGTTGTTCCTCAGTTCTACAGTTTAAGGGACCTGGATGTCTTGTATCAAAATTAAGGGGACAAATTAAAGATTGTAATGGACACCCTTGAAACGTATTTTCACATCATAAAGTACTACTAAGGATGATTACAAGTCTACAACAAGTTTCCAGAGGGAAATGTAAGTAACCTGCATGGATATAGAGCATTCAACGTACGCAAGTTAGTTCTTCTCAACCCAGAACACAATGGGTGGGTACTTCACTGATATTACCACAGTAAGGTTTCTGTATCAGTACAGCAGTTTTCTATTTTAATAGTCATCATTAATGTAAATTATGCTACAAATGTTCTTATCTTTTACTTAGTTTTTTAAGCATAATCTTACAATAATGATCCATACAAAATATGTAAAAATGCACCTGGTCATGATCAGTGTGGCTGGTCCATACAAAATATGTAAAAATAGTCATGCACTGGCCATGATCAGTGTGGCTGGTCCATACAAAATATGTAAAAATAGTCATGCACCTGGCCATGATCAGTGTGGCTGGTCCATACAAATTATGTAAAAATAGTCATGCACCTGGCCATGATCAGTGTGGCTAGTTCATACAAAATATGTAAAAATATACATGCAACTGGCCATAATCAGTGTGGCAGGTCCACACAAAATATATAAAAATAGTCATACTCCTGGCCATAATCAGTGTGACTAGTCCGTACAAAATATGTAAAAATAGTCATGCACTGGCCATGATCAGTGTGGCTGGTCCATACAAAATATGTAAAAATAGTCATGCACCTGGCCATGATCAGTGTGGCTGGTCCATACAAAAT